AGGCCCCATCATTATTTATAGGATTAATCATGTAGGCCCCATCATTATTTATAGGATTAATCATGTAGGCCCCATCATTATTTATAGGATTAATCATGTAGGCCCCATCATTATTTATAGAATTAATCATGTAGGCCCCATCATTATTTATAGAATTAATCATGTAGGACCCATCATTATTTATAGGATTAATCATGTAGGCCCCATCATTATTTATAGAATTAATCATGTAGGACCCATCATTACTTATAGAATTAATCATGTAGGCCCCATGATTATTTATAGGATTAATCATGTAGGCTCCATCATTATTTACAGGATTAATCATGTAGGCTCCATCATTATTTATAGGATTAATCATTAAAGCCCTAACATAATTGAATGTATTGCAAAAGAACCTGTACGTGTTAGAAGGCTGTACTGCAATTATCTATTATATAAATTCTGAATAAGTTCATTCTCATTCATGAGGTAAACTTTTCCAATTATTTAATAACTAAAATATATCAAGAAATTACGTTTGAGAATGTGCTCCTGTAAATTTATAAGGTTTATATCTTTAACTCTGAACATAAGGATTTCTGTTACCTTCTCTGTAATTTATCACCTTTAAGATCAAAATAGCTGCATAAACTATTCAACCATCTTGAAAAACCTGACTTGTACTAAAACTAGTCCTTCCTTCAGTTGATAATAAGTCTGTTCAGGTAATATTTATTTGAAAAATTCTATTTTTTCTTCTCCTGGTACGTCAGGAGAATGTGTTGAATGTGGCCATTTTATCTTCAATTATATCAAACGTTTGTAATTTACTGAAAAAGTGGTAAATTCCACATTATGGTTTAAATATGGCAGCTAGAACAAGGCCTAGATGTTCTGTCAACCATTTAGATAGCAGATACGTTATAGATCCTACACTGGAAGAGATAGATCTAAGAGGACAATTATTCTTACTTGTCTTGGGTAGACAGTACATTTAAAGTTCTTTAAAATGTTTGAATAATTTGCAGGGACCTGTTAAAATCAGCAACTTTTTTAACCAAGCTTTGAATTTCAGTTTTTCTCAAGTATTCTCATCTTGTATAAGCTTATCCAATTCCTCATCATAGGTTTTATCCGACGATCTGACAACTTGTAATTATAATATACCTGTTCATTTTCATATTTCAGTGAACATCCATAACATTATTGTTGTTATCATATAATGCTTTAGCTATAATCCTGGTATGAACTTTAAACATCATTGTCATCTTTGGTTGAGCTTTTGTTAAAGCCAAGTTTGGTCAAAAACTATATGGACATGAAATGTGACACACAGACAAGACAGTGCCCCCCCCCCATGCCTGAAAAGAGGGGGAGGGGACAGGTCAAAACTTCAAACCCTCCAGAAGGCCAGGATGCCCCAAGGATGTGTGTACCAAGTAGTGTATTTTACAAATAAGTAAAGTAAACAACACCAAGTATGTTAAAACAATGAATAGAAAAGGTGAAAACCTCAGAAGTGTTTTACATAAACATGCAGTCAGCATGCTAACAAATCAACTAGGCCCGATGTGAACGAAAATAACTAATGCTGTAATATCCAAAAAAAATTAAACATGGAGAGATAAGGCTAAACAATAAGTTATTCAAAACTAGTAGCCCCCCAGTGGCACAGCGGTATGTCTGCGGACTTACAATGCTAGAAACCGGGTTTCGATACCCGTGGTGGGCAGAGCACAGATAGCCCTTGTGTAACTTTGTGCTTAATTACAAACAAAACTAGTATAAAAATTCTCAATCTGCTAAAAATATTTTGAATTTGTCTTCTTATAACCATAAATGTTTAGGAAAAACATAGTTGAGCTTTGGCTTCTCATTTTCTTTTAAAAATACAGATTGATTGTGTTCCACATGCTATTTTGTTGATCTCTACCAACCTTTAGGCCTTGGTGGGGCTACTCCAAGGAGTGATATAGGGTGTTGAAATTCAGATTTGACCCCCCTCCCCATGTCATTTCTTGGTGGGTCCCTATCTGTCTGTATGTCCATCTGTCACACTATTACTTTTTGTCTAACCTCAAGCTTAGGGCCTAATGGGGAGTCGGCATTCAGACCTGTTCCCCCCATATTACTCCACACGGTCCCCTTTGTCTTGGAATAGGTATATCAGCTAGTCTTAAACATATGCAAAGACATATTTCAGTGTCATTAACCAGTTAGGATATCCCACAAACCACCTCGTTATCAATATAATTAATTTAATATGACAATAATGAAAACACTAAAAGCGATTCTGTTGAAAAATCTACCAGTGACACCCATTATTCCTCCTTTACTAACCCTTCACGTTCTAACAAGAAGCTAATTTTTTACCCAATTTGAATGTTATCATCTGTACCATAAAATGACATCAACCCAGTAGTGAGAAAAAAAGATAATATATTTTTGTATTTGAATAAATATCCTAGTTTGAATATTTTAAATATTATTTTGCTACAGGCTGGGTTGCGAACTCTCCATGAACTTGGGCCTGAAATACGAAGAGCAATTTCTGGTAGTTTAGACGTTGATGAATTTAATGATGGAGTGGATATAGAACCAATGCATAGGGTGAGTTTTATAATTCAGATTGATTCATTCTCATGATGAATACAATATATTTATTCTTTAAGATAATTATCTTGTCTCATATTACCAGAAGATGTAATAATTTTATCTTTTTGTTCATCTACAGTTAAAAATAATTTTTATTTAGTTTAGTTGTATCAAGGCAATAGTTAAAGATTGTTCAGGACATTATTTTATACTTCACGAGATATCCAAACAAAATCATTGTTTTATTGCCAAAATATAAGACACCAAATCAAAAACCTTCCCAATGTGGTAATAAGTTAAAACTATGGGAAAAAAAATTATACATCAGTACTCAGAAATGAAAAATTTAAAACAGAGTATTAGTGGAGTTGTTTTCATTCATCTTGGTCTCGTTTTCTCTCATTTTCACATGTTTGTTTGATTATCTCAGAGGAATCATCCATTTTTTGGAATGTGGACCACCATACGTGCCAGATATCCAGAAAGAATGCGATCACTTCACCTTGGCCCTTGTCGATCTCAAGCTAAAATATCTCCGACTGATTCAGCACTCTCCAATTATGCCGCAGCTAATCCTTATAGTATTAACCATATTAAACTTCCACAAGAAAGGTACCTTAGCTCTGTTTATGGACAAGATTTGTCAAGGTTGGTGAAGGCACATTTATTCGTTAGTTATACATGTTCTAATTTTGACTCGTCAAACTAAATAGTCGTTACTTTCCCTACCTCATTTGTTATATTTTAGGCTAGAAGTCTTATGGATTCTTCTGTGATTAACTTTTATTGTAGTTCTCCAGATACAAAAACTTCAGTCTTTATATTGGTAATTATGTGATTATTTAACAGTATTCAAACTTTGATACTCCATTTTTGTCGTTTTGATTGTGTCATAAAATTAGAGAGATGATCCTTTCTACACGTAGATTAAATATACAGAAACGTCAGATAAATCAATACATAGCTGAATTCTTATTTTAGCATTTAATCTTCACAGTTCCAATACATACAAGTTTCATGCTATATGACTGGTCATTCCCACATTTTAGATGTTCTTCATATTTAATGTACTCTCTTGATCTTCGTATGGAATCTGTGAAGTTTTAAGGTGAAAATTCAGCCTCTCCTAAAAAAAAAAATTAACGTACTATGTATACACACACGTGTACAATCGTTTGTTCTCTAAGTTTTGTATTATGTAAACCTATTTCAGTATTCTTTGACTTAAAAGTCTCTTTCTTTATTATATATCATGAAAAACCAATTTATAAAATGGCAGTGGTGTCTTCACTTAACACTCACATTTACACTCGTATAGCAATAGAGACAGCTGTATGTTTGTTACACAACTCAGTTTTATACTTGGGTAGTAAAATTACAGCTGTGTGTTTGTTAAACAAGTTACTTTCATATTTAGGTTGTAAAATGGCAGCTGTGTGTTTGTTAAACAAGTTACTTTCATATTTAGGTAGTAAAATGGCAGCTGTGTGTTTGTTAAACAAGTTACTTTTATACTTGGGTAGTAAAATGACAGCTGTGTGTTTGTTAAACAAGTTACTTTTATACTTGGGTAGTAAAATGACAGCTGTGTGTTTGTTA